TAAATTAATTTCTACATATAAAATAAAAATGAAATGAATGAAAACCTTCGTTCTGATCCTCCCTTCTGCCTTCGTCTGTTGGCGTCAATACTCAATTGTTTATTGCAAACCACAGTGGACACAGTTACAACATAATATTAGCACAATCACGCTATGGACGCTGTCGGACACAGCAACATTTTAGAGAAATGTCAAAATAAATATAATTTCGAATAAATTTCTATCCAAGTGCAATCGAAACTTCAAAATTATATAAAATAATAAAACTTGCAACACCATCATATTGAGATCAAGGAGAGGTTGGAATATAAAAAGGACGAGTTATCAAATCGTGCCACTCAATGCGAGGATGCTTCAGACATGCTCAAATAACATTATTGCGTATTACGTTGTTTTTTCTCTCTACTGGCGATAGGAAATCTCTTTGAAATATGGTTATTACGAATTTTCAAAGTCTTTAAGAATACTTTTTATATTTTTCTTTAAGTTGTTATATCAGGACAATCTTTATTGAATGAAATCCACTCAGTTGTAGTAGAATTTATCTATCTACTATAATAACACGTAACATTTACAAATATTATTTGAATAATACATTTCATACATGTTACCCTTTTCATTATGTTTTATATCTTAAAAATATAATCAAGAGGAAGGGTTTTATTGTTTGTTTGCATGCATTGAATAGTGTCCGAAAATCCTTTCAAAAGGGTAGGAAAAGTTACATCGTACACCGATAAAATAGACTTTAATTTATTAGGGGAAAGTCGCGGTAAACAACTACTTCTTAAATGAATAATGAAGCCTTTTTCCATTGCAGAAGCTAAACATTTTAAACCACAGTGATAATGTAATCTTGTCTAATAAATTACACAAAACGTTCGATTAGCGTAAATTCAGTACACGTTTATCCCACTGTCATAATTAGTTTTTAAATACCACAGCAAAACCATCTCTACGTTATTCGACTTAAAATTTTCGAAATACACGATATATCATTTGTGATTGCAGAATTTAATTGCACTTTTATATTTTGCCCCATAATACTTAAATATCTCACGGAAACCAACTGTAACAAAGACGACTGCTTATCTAAAATTTCATAATATTTTTGTTTTGATACATTACATATTTACTGTAAATAAAAGATGGCTACGTGTGGCTACGATACAATACAAAAAAAACATGCTATGAAATAAATTGAACAAACATCGAAAGATTCCATTTATTGTTCCGAATTCTAATTTCGTCAATAGGGATGATATATACTGGTACAGATGATATATCTTTTATACGTTTCACGTAAATTTAATAACAAATAGATTACATAATAGGCATTAAAGTTAAGAAGTGGGGGCTTGTTACGTCACAACTATCTAGAAAATTTACCAAGGTTTTTTTTATGTGACCTCATGCGTAATTTTAACTTTAAGCTATCATCGTTATTAATTAATTACGCAAAAAAATAAAAATACGTGTTTAAAATTATTTAATAATCTACCCGACAGACACATAAACAAAAATGAGGCATCATCCCTATTCTTATGACAGATTAACGGAATCTAAATTCAAAAGAACTATGTTTATCCAGAACGCATCGAATCTCTCACTACTATCCCCACCATCTTTGGCGCGAAGAAGATCATCGGTGATGTTCAGTGACACAGTCCTGCTTCATGCTCCCAGCGCACCGCACATGGCACATCCGCACAATGTCTGCTCGTCAGAGAAGATGACTCAAACAGGTATACCACCAAAATTCTCCACCTACTAATAAAATAATAAAAAGAGCAGGCCAAAAAATATATCTTCCCCAATCCAAGGTTTTTCGTAACCTCGAAATTTTCTAACTCAAAATATCAACAGGGTGTATTATTAAATTGTTAACAATAAAAATCAATATTTATAGATTCATTGTGCCAACGTGATTGGCTTAAGAGCCAAAGTGGTGAGTCTAGAGACGGTAGATCTAGACGATATTAGAGGGGCATGTCAATCTGATCTAACACTCTCGCTTCCTTCTGCTATTCTTCAAATCAAGACTAGGTGAACTGGACTTAATTTTCTTCCTTTGTGTTTCGCTTTCCGTTTCTCGATATAGGTTAGTTTCTAATTTTATGAATTCTTGATGTGATGTCTTCAATCTACTCGTTACTTACCTCGAACGCATCACACACAGTTTGAAATTATAAATCAATAAATATTTCAAGCTTCAATACCAACACGTGGCAATAATTCTTTATCACCGTCTTTCTTATTAAAGCTACAGTCAGTAGGAGCAGATTCTGAACATAAAAGATGAATCCACTCATGCTTTCGAGGTAATATTTAATAGCAAAATCGCACTGTAGTGACACTTATGTTGCGGGCGTAGAATTCGACCTGCCAACAGGCGAAACGGCCGAAGAAAGGGCGGCTGCGGGAGGCACTATGTCTTGTCAAGAACTTTTGGCCCTCTCCGGAGCACTCTCGGCCGCATTACCTACAGGGCAAGTTGCTTTAGACTCATTCTTCGAAGAACTAACTAAAGGAATCAGTAAACGAGCAGGAGATGAGAAAAATGATACTAAGGTAAATGTATAAACATTTACAAATAAAATAACACATGACTATAAACAGCTAATCGTTTGTTTTGCTTTGTAGACTTTAGATATAGAAGATTTTTCTTGCTGTGCCGAATTACTCGCAGCTGAAGAATTAGCAAAAGAATCCAGAAAAAATAAATTCTCCAACGCGTTTTGTACAGTCTGGAAAAGGATATCAAAATTTTTATCATGGCTCAGAAAGTATATTAAAAATATAGTCAATCAAAAATATTTCCAACAAGGTAAGACAATTTTAATATGTCCCATATTCCATCTCGCGAAATTCTTTATACAGGCACTGTAACAAAAAGATATGAAAAGTTTCAATGTCGAGAAAAATTTGGTTGGTATCATATTCATTCTTCCAAAATAAAACGGCGACCCAAATAATAATTAAAAGAACATTATGAATAAGATGAGATAATAGAAACGTGATTCTAATTAAATTCAGGGTGTCCACTTTCTGGAAAATCAGGGAAGTAAAATTTTGACAGGGATAATTTGTGAAAGTCAGGGAAAAAATTAAGATCAACCGTGAAGTCAGGGAAAAGATATAAGATCTTTGTAACATTTTTATTATTGCAATGATTTTAAATCTCACTGTGTCGCTCAATGACCAATTAGTCATGAATGCTTGTTTAATGTATTGGTACTCTTTGCTTTACTAGAAATATATTCAATTCATACTATGTTAAGGATCTGACTTTTTTAATCCGGAGTCATATATTATTGTGATATTAAGTGGCAATTTTACTTAATTTAGTAAAAGTATCATTTCATTTTAACGGAATTTCAAGGCTTACGATTACATAAAATTTTCTTCAACAACTGTAAACGTCTTTGAGGTGGAATTTCATGCCTGTCATGTCCATCGAACACAAGCAAATAGGATATTAATATCTTCAGAACCGCTACGAAGCCCTTAAGAACAGTTTAGATGTTAACGATATAAACAGCATACTTTTGGACACTGTCCGTATAGTCGGGTCGTACTAAGTATTTCGCAACCTGCCGCCCCACAACAAAGAAATTCTGATGACATAGTCATACTCATGAAAACTAGATACAAAATGAGGCTAAGTACTAAACTCAATGGACGCAAATCTCCAAATTCTCAACATGCGATCTTCGCCGATTTTATACGGAATGAATAAAGAGGCTATTGAGTGAGAAAATTTGTCTATTGGGCAAAGTCAACGGCAAAGGCTTAAATCTGGGGAATGGTAACATCATTTCGTCGAAAGTCAAGATCTTGAAGGAGGTCGAGGGTTTCTGTGGACAATTATAATCCACGCAAACACCTATTGGAATCAAAGTTTAGCCTTGGTGTTGGTCAAACTTACAAGCTATAGTGTCATTATTGAAGATATCCCGGACATCAGCCTATATGAGATTAAAATGGCTCGTCAATAATAAAAAAAATAAAGTGACCGGTAATGACGGGACGAAGTCGGTGGTAAGCCAATAGTAAAAAGTAACGCAGATCTTATTTAATTCTATTGTACTTGAGGGCAGAACGCCGAATGCATCGAACGGGAGGGGGATTGTTCCGTTTTTCAAAAAAGATAATAAGACCCTTGAAGAACTAAAAGTAGATCTCGCTTCTGAGCCATGTCCATAAGTTGTTTTCAAGATTCATAGGCTGGACGATTTCCATGATGTGATTATATCTGGAAATTTTCATAAAATTTCTTATCTTCTGAAAATGTTCATATTTGTTTTGAAGTGAAAGATTTTGAGGAAATTAAGAATAAGATCTGAAACTTTTTACTTTTAAAATGTGTTAATTCCAAACGTCAGGTATTTTTTTTTATTGGAGTGGACACCCTGAAATTGTTTACTGGCATTTATACCTAAATAAATTCGCTTTTGTTCTGTCATTCAATGCTGAAAATGTTTACACCCTATTAATTCTTTTTAAATTCATAAAGAATGACTGAAAGCTTTTTTAAGCGAAACCAATCCTAAAGAATATTTTTTTCTAATTTTCTCTGTCCATTTTCTATAATAAACTCTGTAGCTGAGTGGTTCGCACACCGGTTTCAAGGTGTCACCATCTCTGAGGTCCCGGGTTTGGTTTGTGGTCGGGTCAATGTAGAAAATGAACTTTTCCCTATTGTGTCGGGTCTGGATATTGTAGTACCTTCGTTATCGCAGATACTCCATAATACGAGAGCTTTAGCTACTCATCTTGGTATCTGAGCAATGTATGTGATATTGTTTAATATTAATATCTAAATATGACCATCATTATAAAATTGAATCATTTCGGTAACAGTAATACAAATTCTATTATTCCAACAGGTATATTATTGGCTATTCTCATAAATACACTATCGATGGGTATTGAGTACCACAACCAACCAGAGGAACTAACAGTAATAGTAGAGATCAGTAACATCGTTTTCTCAGCAATATTTGCCGTTGAAATGATCCTCAAAATTATCGCCGAGGGACCCTTCAAATACATTTCCAACGGATTTAATGTTTTCGATGGCGTGATCGTTATACTAAGGTAACAATACGCTTTTGTAAACCTTTGGAGAATTGATTTAACCAATTTAAGTAACTCATAAAAATGCGATGTAACTTGTGAATTTTATTTGAAGTGTTTTTTTTATTTTTTATTTGGCAGTGCATTTGAATTAGCGCAGAGTTTAGGAAACGAAAGAGATTTAGCTGGCAGTTCTGGCCTCTCTGTCTTGCGGACTTTTCGACTACTGCGTATTTTAAAACTAGTAAGGTTCATGCCAAACCTACGACGCCAATTGTTCGTCATGCTACGCACTATGGATAATGTAGCCGTATTCTTCTCGCTACTTGTACTTTTCATCTTTATTTTCAGGTAAATATTTTATATTAATTATTAGCGGAGTTAGTGAAATATTTTTGCGGAACAAAGCCCAGACCAACGTTAAATTGATATAATGTTACACAACGAATATTAAAATAATTAATTAAATTTCCATAATTAAATTGCATGAATTAAATAAAATTACAGAAAAGAGTTTTTAATTGAGGTGCTATTTGTTTTAAAAAAATAAACATAATACCTTTTTTTTGTATTGATCTTCTTTATTTTAGTTTTCTGTGGCAGGAATTTAAAGTAAAGACGTAAAATGTAATACTAACTTCGTTCAATTTTTGTTTTTTTATTAATTTACTTCAATTTAACTTTTAATAAATAACTGTTGCTTTACTCAACTAGAATCCAAATAATCTTCTTAACCTCTATCGTGTGAAAAATCTCGTTTTTGATGTTTCATACCCTTGTATCGTAGTTGTCGTATCCAAGTAGTAAACTTCATTGTTTTAGGCAATCACTCGTGGATTGCTCAACCCAATAATTCATTTCTCCCGTAGAAAAGAAGATTTATTCGACTCCATAAAATATGAAATTCTGAATGTTTCTACTTAACTGTCACACCCGCATCCCTTAACCTGTGCACTAACTGTGAGTGATTTCTCCTTTTTCTTTTCGATCTTTCCTTATTTGTGTATCGTTCACTTCTGTCTACCTGACATTAAACCCACTACACACTGCCACTATCCACACTTTCCACAACTTTTTCTCTTCTATATAAGTATATCTTTTTAGTCTTTATCGCTTCTGTGCTTTTTGTCCACCTCAGTTTATTTACACCTGCACTTGATCACAGTCATTTAGATGGTATTAGCTCGTATATATGTATTATACATATTTCATCTTTCCTTCTCTATATGTGGAAGAGACATAAGTAATAGCATTGTTATCTAATCGTATATTGCGTGGTAACGTTCAGCATCCTCGGTATGAACCTCTTCGGGTGCAAATTCTGCGAGAAAGACGAGGAAGGCGACCAAGATTGCGACAGAAAAAACTTTGATACTCTCTTGTGGGCCTTTGTCACAGTGTTTCAGGTATTAAACATTTTAAATTAACGTACCTAACAGACAAAACCAGAAACAAACTGAACTTGCAAAAACATTACTAAACGCTTACCTTCCGGTCTGTCAGTAAACACTCATGTCAATGTGACGAATCCCATTAACAAAAGTATTGTATTTGTGACGGCTAATTGACTAACCACGCGAGTACACATTTGACTCTCCACTTTGCTGCAAGAAAACTATCTTCTGTAATAGTTTTTTTTTAAACACAATAACATTTGAAGAAATTTGCTTGCAGTATGGTGTGTTTGTCAGACAAGCGCGAGACGCGTAACCGCTACCCTAGTACCCGCGTAGTGAGATCTAGACCCATCGTAACAAATTGATCCAACATCATCTAGTGTCACGTTCACCATATTGTGCCGTACAGTATTCCAAATAAAATTGTCAAGAGCACATATTATTTAGTCAGAAGCTTGATTGAGTTGTAGGTTAGCTTAAAATCAATCCGTTGCCGTGTCGCGGGTTAACCTGGTCGTCAGTTCCTCTACTCGAACTACTACAATAGCACTCAGTCGAAACAGTATATCACTTTGCATGCTGCTTCTATTATTTAGGTATCTTTATTCAACAAAGCCGAAACCAGTGAAGTAATTAATTGAGATTCATAATCAAATTGTGATCCTTCCATTGTGCCGAGATTTATTATCTGTTACTAAGTCGAAATTTTCACTGTTTTCGTCTTTCAGCCCGGCACCTTTGTTTTAACTTCAGTAACGTTCTATTTTCAATTACTTCCCCTTTTCTTCAACTTTTACTTACTAATTTTTATGCTAGTATGATTGGCCCGGCCCACTTATCTTGATTTCCTTTTCTCTTTTTCCACTTGCATTATTATCGATAAAAATGTTTTTTAAATAATGCATTTAATTTGGTTGGAAAGTGATTTGAGAAATTGGAACAATAAGAATGATATTTTACTTTCTTTTTGCACTTTTCTTTGGCCTAATTTTCTCTTTCAAATTATTTTTATTGCATTTTATATTTAATATTTTATATCATCGTTAAAATCATGAGGCAGTATATAAAGAATGATTTTTAATATTATTCATAAGCACTTTAAATAATACGACATAATTACGTTGGAATTACTTAGATTTATTAACAATTTTGATTGCCCCTCTGGTAAGCGCGTTCTAGCGGCGGTAACACTGCTTAACCAATTTAGGCTTATAACAGCTGGTAATTATGTTAGATCAACGGCCAAATTCATGGACAGGGCCATTTAGAAATATAACTAATTTTACGCTTTATAAACAACACATTTTATTTCTAGCATATAGAAAAGTAGTAAAATCATCCCTTAATATAGTTTTTATACGTATAAAAATGAAGACTATATCGTTAAATAAATATCATCTTATTGAGCGACTAACCGAGACAGAGGAACGCGTAGTATACTTATTTGTTCGTAAAATTAGTTTCGTTTCGTAGGCAAAGGTTGCAGTGTTAACGTCGGGTACGCATTGAAAATGTCGTCAGGATGACTCGGTCGCGGCGTATGCGCATAGCATTTTCTTTTTCTTTCATTTTTTCATCGGCTCCGCGGCGAACAGTATTCTGGGCATGTATCTATTCGGTGGTAAGTTTTGCAAGTATGTGGAAGACAATGGCACCGAGCGCGACTGTACGTGCCCTGAAATCATCTCCCACCACCCCAAGTGTGAGTGCGACAGAAAACATTTTAATAACATCCTCTGGGCTACCGTCACCGTCTTCCAGGTAAGCCTTTGAGAATGGTGTTAGACAAGGTACACAATAGTCGGTTTATTTGCGATCCCGTTTGAATATATACCTAGCGTAGACGCCGCGTGTTTCTCGTACCGACCAATCCAAATCGATTCCATAATAATGTCTCGTTTGACAACTCTTTGATGTTGTTAAAAAAGACATAATAGAATTGGTCTTGTATGTTACTAATTTGGCACAAGCGAGAGATTCGCTGTAGTAGATTAGATATTTAGTTGTAGTTTAGACATCTTTGTATTGCATCTTCAGGGAGCGCTCCGTAATTACTGCATTCTTTAGTAGTGCTTTAGAAGAATTAGTTGTATGCTGGTTCCTAGAATGCTTGTGTACTCGAATCGCCGTCTGTTTGTTCCCTTCATTAATTAATGCCCCTGCATATTAGTGTACACTAACACGACAACATTACACTAATTAAACACTAACACGCTGATTTTTGACATATTTTATTTACAATGATTTGTTAACATTAAATTACAAATATCAAGAGGCACTTGAATACAATATGACAGCACACCTTGCTTATTTTGATTTATTAAAGAGATTTACAATTAACGACGATATTTTGATGTGGTAGAGAAATTTGTTATGCATACTCTTTATTGATCTCAGCATTGATATTTCAGGTTTTGACTCAGGAAGATTGGAATGTTGTATTGTTTAATGGTATGGAAAAGACGAGCCACTGGGCTGCATTATATTTTGTGGCATTGATGACCTTCGGCAATTACGTTCTGTTCAATTTGCTAGTAGCCATTCTAGTTGAAGGATTTAGTTCTGAGGTAAGTTTTCTAATGACCTCCGAATATAAGATTGTATGATACTTATATAAAAAAATGGAACTTATAATGGACATATTAATTAGTTAAATTTATTTTTATAGTTTTTCGTAACAGTAATATATCTTTGATATGTTTACAAAACAATGTTTCTTAGCCTCATTGTATAAACCAAACCTTCCGAACAAAAATACAACTGAAATCGGAAACTCGGTCTTCCTTTGCTTGTTCTTTTTACATGAACAGCCATAAATTACTTTGGTCCCGAAAATGACTCCAAATTATTCTATATTCAAGTAAAGTAACTTACATAACATATTCAAATATATATAAAACAAATCCTTTTCTTTACTTAGTCTAAGTGAACGGAACCTGTAAAGGATCCGAATATCATCGTATTTAAAAGTGTTTTATCCATTTTAAGTAGTTTTTTTTTTAATGAGTCGTAGGAAAATATATGAAACCAGTATGTAATCCAATGTAGGCCTTTCGGAACATTTCAATGAAAAATCAAATTGCGTTTAATATATTTTGTTAATGGTCGACGTTGTTAAAACTGCGCAGTGAGCCATTAATAATCAACTCCAAACGAATGAATATGCGAAACAGCATGTGCTCTTTCAAAATCACAGGACTAAAATCAATTTCACAGCGAAACGAGAGAAGGGAACGCGAGCAACGCGAACTGGCTAAGTCAAAACTATCCAGTGAATGCTTCTCAGACAACAATGAGGTCCAATATGACGATTCCAATTCTGGGTCGCATTCCAGTGACAGCTTTTCTCAGGTTTGGTATATTTCAATTTGATCTGACAAATTATGGATTTCCAAAGAATGTAGACGTGGAGTACATGTGAAACAGGAATAACATCTTTAAAATATTATTATGTGTTGAATTCCAAAGAAAAGAACGAAATTTTTGTTGCCTATTACTTATTTCATTGTCTCTCCCTAAATGTCAGTTGACAATTTTTCTGGTGGAATGAGGATTTTTCAAAGTTAAATCAGAGCATTATCACATATTTATTAAACAAACATTTAACAAAGTAAAGTAGTATTTTTTTAAAAACATAGGGTGACACACACATGATGAATTTATGTCAATCGCGTCACAGAATACTGGCTAACTGACCTAAAATCTCTTTTTAATTCTATTACTAAAAACTAAAGAGTTTAATAGCGGAAAATAAATTATATTAATAATATGCAAAAATCCCAAGAAATCCGAAAGTTTTCATTTTGTATGCAGATCTACGAATATAAATATACTATTATAAAATACACAACAACTGCTATTAACTTTGAAAGTAAGATTTAAAAATAATTATAATTAAGAAACTAGTAACGTAACGGAGTACTGTTTGTTGATTATTTATCAGAACAACTGCGGAAACCCCATTATCGTTAATATTATTAAAAATATACAATTTTGACTTTATATTTTAAATGACCTTCAGCGGTTCGCAATATTACAAAAATTAATATAACTTTTATCGCTAATAACGTAGGTATTAATTAAAGTGAAACTAATTATTTCAGCGGCAAAGATCTGGAGTTCAAAGCTAATTTATTAAATAAGATAGTACTACTAAAATGGTCCACTGCTTTTGAAAGACTGTTTGCTAAGAAAGAATTAGAATAAATTACAAACAGTCCCGCAGTAGAGTGACAAATAGAAACGTAGTACTGTGATTCAAATGTCTATTAGCTGTTTTTTACTGCTCGCACTATTTTCCTTTGTGTATTATTTTCGCTTTAGCAAACAGTACAACTTGAAAATCGCAATAATTATTAAAAACTTATCTAAGTAATTTTTCAACATAACACTGCAATACAGAATGAAATAAAAAACTACTGGCGGTCAGCAGACGACGTACGGAAAGCCAAAGACAACGTAAACGGGCAAAAGGATAAAACTAAGTCGCGTCGCAAACCAAAATCATCCACTCACCACCCCACGCTCTGCAAAGACTGTGCGCAATCCAATAAATGTAACATTCAAAAGGTAAGAGTACTTCTTTATTTCTACTTAATCTATTTTTTCTTGTTTGCCAATACACATGAACTAATAGAAGTGATCTTTAAGCTATATTTACAGTAAAAATTCTGAACGTGGACATTTTTGTGTTCAGACTTCTATCTACTAAAATGTAGCTGTAAATGATAGCATTTTGTATTAAGAATAAGTATTCTATAGTTGTACAGTGTTTTGTCTTTTTCACTCGATTTGGAAGTCACATTAGAATAACGTGAATAGAACTATGTGTAACTAAACAACGATTATAAATTTCTGTTTAGTAAAGACATAAATATTTTAGTTCTGTGCTAAATACCTCAAAGGCATTCGCATTAAGATATCTAGTTGAAAACTTCCTATAATTGAATTAGCTCTATCATATAACGAACGATATAATCATTATATATTTTCATTTGGTGCATAGCTTAAATTTCAAGTTTCCTAACTTAGTACAAATTTAGGTTAATCCAGGGTTTTGCCAACATAATATTTTACGATAGACCAACTCAAATTGCTTCTAGGGCAGTAATCAACCCCACCGTTTGAAACTTATTATTTTTTATTACATTTTGTTATCAACATGTTTTATCAAATATTATTTTTCTTCGCTTATCAGAAACACAGCATCATATCAAATTTTGTTCTATACCAAAGGAATGCTACATAGTTTTGAATATAAAATTTAAAACATCAGTATCAACGAATTAATCGCTGTCCATTACTTTTGTTTACATCGTTCGATCAAATATGAATGAGTCTAATCAAATCTATTCAAATCAAGAAGTCTAGTTAAATCTTACTGAAAATATGCTTTAACTTTTTTAATCTTTGGTGTAGATAAAGTGTACTCGAATATTAATGTTATTCTTCAGGAGTCAAAAATGCTGGCAAGTGGAGCAGTACCCAGTGATACTACAGTAGTTCCTATGATTACTCACACCGCAGCCACACCACAAGACTCTCCATCCACTACCTTAGAACCAGGAGCGTCTTTCAAAGATTTCAACCTTGCTTTAACTTTAGAACGGTCGTCTATGGTTTCCAGTTTAGATTCTATCGACCGGACCTCTGTACGTATACTCTTAATAAATAAGTTTCCATGGATAGACATTTCAATAAATAGTGTTACCCTCAATCGGAGGAAATAAAACATTATGAATTTGAAAAGCCAATAAATACATGCAATTTACTTTACATAACTACTTTAATCTTAAAAAATAACTTTATTTAATTCATTTACTTCCAAAAGTCATACTAATAGAATTTGATAATCATACTTGATAACCTTCGTGAAGAAAAGATATCGACTTGACACGAATTGTATTATACGGATTTTTATTATTTCAGTGCACCAGCATACCGGGTCTTCTAAAACCACCGAATAGTTACACTTTAACACTCCATTCAGCAGCGGCGCAATTAGGTTCAGAAAAAGCTCGTCTTCCACCGATGACTCTAGCTCCACCACCACTAACTTTAGCGCCTCCACCTCTCAGATCAGCATCTCCGGGATCTACATCACCTAGCACCCCAAAGTCTATAGCTTCACCTCTACTGCCAGAAAAGAATCTCCAAATTACAATAATGAAAGACGATAATTGTTTGAACACCAGCGATAAATCAAGTCTTCTCAGTTCCCAGAAGTGAGTACATATGTTTATAAATAATAGTTTTATTGACGTATTCGCTTTTTAGGATTCCACAACAAAAGAGAGTTAAAAAGAGGGACCTTCTTAACTCTTGGTGTAGACTCCATGCTAAATAATATGCTTCTACTGATTGTCACAGGAATCTTATTTTATTTAGCCGCTTTGTCGCTATTAAGACAAAAAAAGACGGATCCATAAAAATAATCTAAACTTATTCACTAAATACTAAATTCAAAATTTTTTTTCACTTATTCCTTATTTCTCCATCTTATATTTAGAATTTTTTATAGAGCACATGCCACCAAAGTTTCTATGTAAGCAAATGTTAAAAAAAAATGTAATTATAATATTTGATCTATTACGCATTCACAATGCTATATTAAAAGATATTTTTAATGGAAAATGCTTAAGGGACCAAGCTCCGGACCAAGTGGATTTTTTCATCTTTAACGAAAGTTTAAATATATTTCTTTCGATTGTTTAGGTGGATTGTCTCAACTTTGATGAGAATACAATCTGTAATAGAGCAAAAACGTAACAAGTGTTTGAAAGATTCGTCAGTTGATCCTGGGTAGCTCAGTAGTTAGATCAGTCGCCCGGATTGCGAATGGTTATCGGTTCGGATCCCATCTCAGCGTGCCAGGGATCAAGTGGATTTTATAAACTTTTTTTATTAAGAACCATTTTAGTAATATTCGATGATACCGAAACCACAATGCGCGAGATGACCTACAATGTTTGATTTTATTTATGTTAGGAGTTTAAGCGCCTCTAGTGCAGGAATGAGCGGGGATGAGAAGTGTCGCGTGCAACGCGGCTACAGCTGGAGATTATCGCGACCTAGTCTACGCCGCAAACCGAAACAGCGCACGGGCTCCGATTCTGACGCTATCGTACTCAACAACGGGAGGGATCATGCCACATGTAACGGTTAATAATAATTATTATACTATACAGAGTTATGTCTTCATCATCATCCCTTTGTTTCGTCCCCACTGCAGGGGCTCAGGCCTTCCTTATAGATAGTTAAGGAGCATGGGCCATGACCGCGCTGGCCCAATGCTGATAGGCGGGTATTAACGACTACAAATGCAGCCGGGTCCAATGGCTTAACGTGCCTTCCGAAGCACGGAGTAGCTCGAGATAATAATTTTTTGGTCACCCATCCCGTAACCGACCCTTGCGAAAGTTGCTTAACGACAACGATCGCGTGCCGCGGCGCATATCTACTACGCCACCGAGCTACTACAGAGTTATGTATATAACCTGAATTCAGTAACATCAACTAAGACATAAAAACACAGTCTGAAACGAAGTCACACTTTCGAATATCTGTAATTACATATAGGTAGGTAGATTTGGTTGTATTCTTTTGTGCACTTAGATTTTTTCGTTTATTATAAAACTAAAGTTAAAGTAGGTCGTACAACCACAATGTGAAAAAGACATTTCACTCATAGTGATTTCATCCAACTGGTTTCAGGGGAAAAGTAGATCTGAACGCAAGAACAGTTGATACTGAACTGCCCTGCGATTCGGTAAAAATGCAGACCCAAATTCGAATTCACTCATGTGTCTGGATTCACGTTATTTTTAGTGTACAAATTGATTGATTTTTTGGTAAAAAAACACAAAAAAAAAAATTGATAGAATATACGTGTCTCAGATATTCTACGAGTATTCTTATATCATTTCGAAACTCACTTCACTTATGCCACAAAACATTATTACCTAATCGAGGTTGAGCGGATGCCGCTTTCTGAAGTGAATTCGAGTTCAGGTTTTTTACGGAATCACAGGGCAGCACTGGTTTTATAGAAATTCCTTTACTTGAGGTAAACATCCATATGTCAGCACACACGCACCGGCCACGACCGCACAATACGAAACGGATTATAAAAAACCTATGACGTCATCAGCATAATTCCAACGTCAAAACTGACAGTCACGTTTTTCATAGAAGCATCTATGAAAAATGCGACTGCAGTGGATATATGACATTAAAAAAACCGTTCAATGCGTTGTCGTGCAGCATTTGCACGCGTACTGAGGCAGTGAACGAATACTTTTACCCATTCTTGTTTACTTAATCTCCTATGTATTAAAAATAAAATAATGTAATAAAAAATTCTTTTACATTTGAAAAAAGTTTTAATATCTTAATAGGTTCAGGACTAAGGAAAAACGAGTTGCTACTATCATCTTCAATAGTCATAAAGAATGATACCCAATCGGAGTTCCCGAACAACCGGTTTAAATCTCAACTGCCTGCGCCAAGAGTATTGGCCCCACCAGCAAGACGAGTATCCGCCCATACCGCTCCACTGCTGCCTGATGTAACTATTTAATGCCTATAATATATTTCTATTCATTCATAATTAACAAGTACCATTTCAATTGAAACTTAATTAAAGGAATAAAAGCACACAATCAGTTATAATTAAATTATAGACGCTATTGAAATATGCTAATTATTATTAAAACTCAATGGAGAATATACATTTATTGACCTAAAATAAACAATAATACATCGCGTGAAATCAATCCTCAAATAGTGACTTTGTTCCTCATAGTGAGATGAGGGTCTGTGTATTCACTCAGTGTACACGTGAATTTAAAGACTTTTGAGTTCATTTTCCTTGTTCGTAAATCTATATAGAGTTTTAAAAATATAAGGGGTCCGTATGAACACTTCAATACTCGTGTAAAATCGGGACGGGCCACTAATTAAAAAAAAAAAGAAAGAAAATGTAGACCGGTAGTTTTGTCTTGATCAGGCTCCGTACTAAAATTGGCATTAGCGTTATCAGCCTTTATACGTCCCCACTACAAGGATTCAGGCCTTCTTTATGGATGGTTAAGGAAGATGGGCCATGACCCTCTACACTGGTCCAATGCGGATTGTAGGGTATTAGCTACTAAATGCGGCCATGACCAACGGCTTAACGTACCTCCCGAAGCACGGAGTAGCTCGAGATAATAATTGTTTAGTCACCCATCACGTGACCGACCCTAGCGAAAGTTGCTTAACAACAAGGATGCCTTATCCACTGCAACACCGAGCTGCTCAAAATTCTCAATATAGGATCAATTTATTCATGTCTTCTTTGCGTATTAAGGTTTCATGGAAAGCGCCCGAGCCGGGCTTCTCAGCAGACTCGACTATTCGACTGGATTCCGTCAAACCACCACCGCACAGACTTTCACTCACAAACGAGTATTTAACCGGTAAGTATTTAAAAAGGATAACACTTTTTGATTATTTAGATACTTTTAACGCATTTCTGCTTTCTTTTCCTATATTATATGTATAGACTTTTGTAGGACCCAACTTATCAATCCTAGTGTCAAACGAGCACTTTTGGAGTACTAAATATTTTTTTTGTTTTACATAATAAGAAAGTCAATGTAGTATATTTCGGTGTGTCTCTTGGCATGGGCCTCTTCTAATATTCTTCATTTGTTTCCATATTTTGCAACTTTTATCATATTAAGTCCTTCGTCTTATCTCGTCTTCCCATCTCTTCTTCTTACTACTTCTTATTTTACTCAACAGTTTAGTTATAAAATCCCTACTAAATATTTTAAAACAAATCTTCATCCTTATTCACTTTTCTTGTTAGAATTATAAAAATAAAAACCTTTTGCTGTTTGTAAAGGATCAAAAGCGTTGACCACACACATTAGATACGAAACAAGTAGCAAATCCCAAGGCAAATATTTCAAACTTCAACAGTAGAACACCGCTCTGCTAAGGGTGGCACAAATATTTGTGCAAACAAATTGGCGCTCTCGTGTTATTTATACAAACGATTAGTGTGTCAGAATACGGGAGCCTTATTAATTTAGATGAATAAATATCAAGTGCGCCTTCATCTGAAGTCATGATAAAGTTATTTGTTCCAAAATTAAGTTTCAGTTTGCGATATTTAAATTTCATTTTCTATTAGCGAGTTCAATTATGCACCAAATTGTATTTATAGCTAACTCAAATTTATGCCAAGTAAAAGTTATATTATTTCGTTATAGAAGATGTTAAGAATAATGCAGTATGCCTTTAAAAGGGCATCATAGACAAATCATTATATTAAATCTATTGTTAACAAAATATTTGTTCAAGAAAACTTTAAAGACACTGAATTAAAATAATAATTCAATGTATTTTCTCGTCAAAAATCACAAAGTTACCTCAAAAATATATTGATATTAATTTTTAATGAAAAATGACAAATGTATAATTGATGGTATACTACATAATAGTCAAAGCTTGGCCGCAAGCATTGCACAATAAACATAGGGGTTTTCATAACACTTTAAATAAAATAAAGAAACGAATAATTTTTGTCTTTCTCTATCTCTCTCTGTCTCGATGACGGGTCTCGCAATTTGATCTCTCGTCAACTTTATACGCAGTCTAAGGCGTAGTATACTCTAGGCATAAGCCTAACCAATAGACTACCCTTGTCTATCTCAATGGATCCGCAATGAGCTTAATAGAGAAAGAGGATGACGTATAAAAGGTTTTTAATAAGGGTTTTTTATAAAAGTCCTGCATAATTCAAAAAAAGTGTAAAATTATCGGAATACAGATTATATATAAACTTTGAGATTTTTTTTCTATTATGAAAATTAGATATATGTAGTCTAAAACCAGTTTAAAGTTTGTGACTTTTGTGCGAGCGCCCTATTAAATGTGCACTTTATTGAACAGGTGTGGAAGAGCAAGTTATATCTATAAAGATACGACTACGGCATAAGCTGCTACATACGTAGCAACTTCGTCGTAGCTCGTAGTTGTACTCGATCGATAAATTGTTAATCTACATAAGCTACACATGAATTGTTTAACACGGTAACGGCTTATAATTGTTTGAATTAAAATGAGAACGAGAAATGAAATTTCTGTTTATTTTCTTGTCTAAAACCACTTTGAAGGGAAATATTTTACAATAACTGTAAAAATTATTTTATCTATTTAATAACATTTATGGTAAATAATTAGAAAAACTTAGGTTTTACATTTATATTACATTCGCTCGCGTAAAATAGCCTATAACAACCCCGAATGATGTAGCTACCAGTATGTAAGTGGAAGAATTTTGAAAATCAGTCCAGTAGTTTCGGACCCTATTCGTTACAAAGAAACATACGAACAAAAACATAATTAAATCTTCCCTCTTTATATGTTAGTATAGATTATATTAAAACACAAAATCCTCGACATTGTAGGGAGTCCAGAATTTTTACCCAAATATCCGGCCTAAGAGGCAGGACTGTCTGCCTATTAGGCTTAGCGATCTGGTAACCCTAGGTGTAGACATAGTGGAACCTAATGAAGTTTAAATAGTACCTAAAATTAAATTAATATTTTAAACTTTTACACAACTATTCTATTTGAAGGTTCAATATTACATTATTAGACGTAGAGTTTTCCAATCAACTTGAAATCTGTAAATAATGGGAAAATCTAAAACTATTTATTTCTTAAAATAAAATGCCTTCAATCTTTTTTGACACGTTTAGCATTTTTGTGATTAATTGGTACATTTCCTATGACATAACAAATTTGAACGTCATAAATAGTGTTAGAACTTAACTTTTCTAATTAATTTAAGTTACCGTTGTATAGAAGCGTAAATTATAAAACTGGATTATTATTTTCGTTTTCAATATTTTTTTATCAAATCAATCATCTTTAGAATTATTTAAGTAGATTGCTAGTGTCGATATATAATCATCGTTTTACTTTAGTAACATCGGTGTCAGAAGTGAAGGCAAGCAACCTCGTACCATCAGCGCCGTTAGCACCACGATCATCACGCACTGAGGCTCCAGCATTACCTCCCCGGACTAACCAACCCTTACCGCAAATCAAGCAAATTAATGAAGAAGTAAGTCACGTGTTTTGGTCTCTTCCTACTATTAAATATCAATGGCCTAATTATCTAATAGATCAGTGGCCAAAATGTCTTATTTATAATTAATTATAATCCCTTTCAAACTTATAGCGGTTGTAATAGTGATTTATGGAACTATGCAACTTTTAAAGTTTTTGCTTTTGAAACTAATTATTATTTTAATGATATAAATGTCATAGACAATTCATTTCGTTTGATATTCCCAATAGCGTTCAAAGATATTTGTAATTAGTGATAGTTTCTTAGACAATTCCGATTAACGTCAAATAGACGTTAGCGTTTATCCACTTACAAAAAAACGTCACGATCGCGATTGCTATATCACATGTCAAATAGTCGTAGCGTGAAGTTCGTGAATATCTTACAAATGTTAAATTCAGAGTGAATATGATAGAAAAATTAGACAATTAAATCACTGGTCAGACTTTACCATTAAATGATATTACTTTGACATTATCTTCATAAAAGATTCTGATAAATAGCTCAGACATCAGCTACGTAACATATTCACATAGACTCTTTGATATGATGACTAATTACTATTACCGTAATGAAAAACGATTCGTAAATATACTCCGAAATTTATCTAACTAAATAAATATAAATTCACTCGTATAAAAATACTTATATATAAGAAAATAACATAAAAATAATTAGACTCAACATTATCAAGTTTATGAACACCCTATTCTCAATATTTTTTTAATTTTAGTAAAACGCAAGATTCATTCATAAGTTAGGCATTAGGCATCTAGCTTACTTTTAAAATCTAACTTTCTATATTTTAGGTGACAATCAATAACAATGTCTGTATACTATCGGGAAGGTTTGAAAGAAGGAGATTTAAGGTGAAAGATCTCTTTCGCTTCATGGAACCAACAGGATGCCTCAAGGAAAAAGAAGACTATTCGCTTTATATTTTTTCTCCTAACAATAAGTAAGTTTCTAGTTTGTTTTTTTTTCATCCCAAGCAGATTTAATGTAGAAAAAGCTTATTTCTATTGTCTCGAGTTTTCGTACCTACGTAGTTTCCTTTTTCAATTTATATCGTTCTTATAAACGACAAACTTATGGGTTGGTCGTGGCAATAGTAAGTGACTTAAATGACTCTGTTCTTTTATGTTTTTTGTTGCAATACGTTGCACTTCAATAGTGTAAGTGATATTTCTTGGAAATATATAGTGTGTATTTTATTTCAAATCGAAAAAACTTTTTACTTTCAACTACTGATTGCTACTGAGCAACTACTGATCAACGAAGATTAATCAAGCTTAATGCATTGCAAAATAAATTACTGATTTAATAAATACAGAGTCCAGTAAATTTCCCAGACTTACTTTTTGTAAAAAAAGTGATTACTGCAAACAACCTAATATATAAATAAAAAAATAATTAATGTCTGGGAAAAGTGTGCAAAGACTTTGTCTTACCACTCTCGTTTCTCTCGGCATACCTTGCAAGTATTAACGACTGCAAAATGCAGCCTGAATCAACGGCTTAACATAATTTTCGAATCACGGAATAATTCGAGATAATATTTTTTGGTCGGATCGATAAAGATCGCGGGCCGCAGGCTACCGAGCTACTTTATAGAAGAATAAAAAATATAGCTCGAAATATTATTATTCTATTTTTTTAAAGACCCTAACTAGGGGGCTGGGAATCCAGCATCCTGCAAAAAAATCACAACCCCAATTATTTATTTGAATTATTCTTACTTATTATTACAACAAAAACTAGGATGAGGCGTTTCTGCACGTGGATGGTAACGAGGGGCTGGTTCGATAACATAGTACTATTATTTATCGCACTCAATTGTATAACACTGGCAATGGAGAGGCCCAACATTCCTCCCGACTCTAAGGAGAGGGCCTTCCTCTCCAGCGCTAACTACGTGTTCACCGTCGTGTTCGCCGTCGAAATGTTCATTAAGGTCAGAAGAAAAAAAACAATATATCATCCACTGTTTATTTCAAATTTTTTTTTCCTCTTCACTGTAAAATAAAACAAGTAAATCAAGACAAATATATCATGAATATGAACTGTTTTCTTTCGATTTTATTACCCTATAGTTATAAGTATTGCGTCAAATCGTAAATTTTTCTTCTTGTACGTATGTCAAAATTGTTAGTTTGAATATCAATTTGTAAAATTTTAATCTGATATTTGAAAATACTATTTTGGAACGCACAGGTTGTGGCTTCGGGAATGTTTTATGGCACTGAGGCATACTTCACATCAGGGTGGAACATTATGGATGGTTCTCTAGTTATAATTTCCATCATCGATCTACTAATGTCTCTGGTCTCAGAGTCTAGTCCAAGAATATTTGGAATTCTCAGGGTAAGACATCGCTAACTGTAATACAATACAATAAATTATAGTTCTCAAATAATCAATTACTGACTGGTATTATTCAATTTGCAGGTATTTAGGCTATTAAGGTCACTACGACCGCTAAGGGTTATAAATCGAGCGCCCGGTTTGAAACTCGTAGTTCAAACTTTACTGTCTTCATTAAGACCGATAGGAAATATTGTTTTGATATGCTGCACTTTCTTTATAATATTTGGGATTTTGGGAGTACAAGTAAGTTAAAAATCGGAACAAAACATCTACATTGCTGTTGAAATGAAGGAAAAAAAATCGCAAGCAATAAATATGTAATGTTTAATTGCAGTTATTCAAAGGAGCGTTTTACTATTGCGAAGGTGCTCATATAAAGAATGTGAAAAACAAAACCGATTGTCTCGCGATCGAGGGTAACGTGTGGGTAAACCGTAAATACAACTTCGACGATCTGGGCAAAGCTCTTATGTCGCTCTTTGTGCTCAGCTCCAGAGACGGATGGGTCAATATCATGTATACTGGTCTTGATGCAGTCGGCGTCGATCAACAGGTAATCAAAATCCAACTCATACTCTTCGTGTACTTTTGTATTTATTATAAACTAGACAGGTTAAATCAAACTCTTACAAAAATACCTACATTTCCTCCGCAGCCCATCGTAAACTACTCAGAATGGCGTCTGCTATATTTCATAGCGTTCATACTACTGGTTGGTTTTTTTGTACTGAACATGTTCGTCGGCGTTGTGGTGGAGAACTTCCACCGTTGTAGGGAAGAACAGGAGAAGGAGGAAAGGGTCCGAAGAGCTGCCAAGAGAGCATTGCAGATGGAAAAGAAAAGGAGAAGTTAGTGACTTAAACTAATGACATACACTTTAGCGACTCTCACTCTTACAGTGCTATTAATAAACAAGGTTTAGCGCGAGAGTAAATTCGAACCTACTATTTCTAGGTGTAAATATTACTCCCGTAGAACTTCGAACTAGGTTAACCTTTGCTATGTCTCTGTTTAGTTTAATAATATGATTTTTTACTAATACTAAGTGCAATCTAGTCGTTAATTTACTCAAACTCTAAACCTTGTTTATTAATAACACTATTAATGGTTTATCTCGCACTAAAATGATAATTTAAGACTTTATTTTTGATATATTAATGATCAAAATAAAATTTAAATATATTAAGTAATCTATAGATCAAGTTAATGCAACTCTCATCGTTTGTACCATATTTTTTTATATTTTTTAAGCTTATGCACTAGCAAAAGTAAAATCACATTAATATGAAATTAAAATCAGGACATTTTCGAGATGATATTGTAATTTGATTAGAATTATATGTTTATCTTAAATACTGTAAATAATTTTGCCAATTGAACAAAAATTAAAATATAAAACGTATTTACTGAAATAAAACCATTCTTATAAGTTAATCGAGACACGAATTCTGGCTTTTGCATAATCATATGTTACGATCAAAGACCAAAAAACCTCAAACGTTTTCGTTGTCTTTGAATGTAACATGTAATATGGAGACAAAAGGGGCATTACCAGGATTCGTAAAACACAATCGTTTCTGGAAATTGAAGCCTTTTCCTTGAACAAAACGATTCTGCGGAAACATTTATTCAATAATTAGGATTTAGAGTTGTTTTCATTTTTTAACTTAATATATATTTTTTTTTTTGTTTCAGAAATGCACCAAAGACCTTATTACTCAGATTATTCCCAAACGCGACTCTTTGTGCACAATGTTGTCACATCCAAGTATTTTGACTTGGCTATCGCTGGAGTAATCGGTTTAAACGTAGTAACTATGGCAATCGAATATTACAGAATGCCACCAGCTTTGCAGTACGCATTGAAAATATTTAATTATTTTTTCACAGCTGTTTTTATTCTTGAAGCGTTAATGAAGCTTGTAGCATTAGGTTTTAAAATTTATTTGAAAGACAAATGGAATCAGCTGGATGTTATAATCGTGATTCTATCAATTGTGGGAATAGTATTAGAAGAACTAGAAACAAATATAATTCCAATAAATCCGACTATAATGAGAGTGATGAGAGTATTAAGAATAGCGAGAGTTCTAAAGCTGTTAAAAATGGCGAAGGGCATAAGGGCCTTATTGGACACAGTGATGCAAGCTTTACCTCAAGTTGGAAACTTAGGTCTTTTGTTTTTTCTTTTATTTTTTATATTTGCTGCTTTAGGTGTCGAACTTTTTGGAAGATTGGAATGTTCAGACGAAATACCTTGTCAAGGTGAGTTTCAAAGCTTTCCTGTTAGTAACATATATTGATAATTAATTTATGTTAAATTTGTAAAAATCTATCTGTAATATTTGTAAAAATAAACCCGAAATGGGTTTTAATAATTATAACAATAATTTTTGTTTTTACTCTAATTAGGACTAGGTGAGCATGCCCATTTCGCTAACTTCGGTATGGCTTTCCTCACATTATTTCGGGTGGCTACTGGAGATAATTGGAATGGAATCATGAAGGACACTCTTCGAGAAGATTGTGACAGCTCTGTGGACTGTGTGCGAAATTGTTGTGTTTCCACAATAATAGCACCTATTTTTTTCGTCGTATTTGTCTTGATGGCACAATTCGTCCTGGTCAATGTTGTAGTTGCTGTGAGTTCCTAATTGATCTTAAACTTTAAATACGCTACAAATAAACGTAATGCTCGATTTCTAAGTGTTAAATTTTCGCAGGTACTGATGAAACATTTGGAAGAGTCACACAAGCAAATGGAAGATGAAATAGACATGGATGTGGAACTTGAACGTGAATTAGAAAGAGAAGCCGACGACGAGGAGGACAGAGCTCTGTGTAGAGCATTGGAGCAGTGTACCTCACCTCCTCGACCGTTGAACAAGGTACCGTCCCTTCCAGCAAACTTCACGTACAGCGAACCGAAGCACCCGCAAGCACTGTCCCCTGCACGCAGAAGACGCACCATGCACTCACACCATGCTTTACTACCAGCGGCACTGCCACCGAGACGGGCATCACTCTCTCCTCACGCCTTCGGTCGACGTCGACAGGATTCATCATCGGAGCCACCGGCGGCACTCTATGAAGAAGACGCAAGATTCATTGACGCTGATGACATCGAGGAATTAGAACCTGGCAGTCCGCCTCACCGAGACTCATTCGCACAAAACAGAAGGCAGCGCGTCGATAAACGAAACTCCCTACGAGGCGAGGAGGCCAGACTACTGCGACCAGTACTACTCGCCGTACCATCGACAAGACAAAACATGAGGTCGTCCTCTAAAATAAGAGCATCCACCGAATCGACCGTCGCAAACGATGCTAGTCAAGCATCGGCGCGCTCTCAATTGCAACTTCCAGTAGAGACTACGGAAGAAGTGATCAGTGAAGAAGAAAAGATAAGAATAGTGATTGCCGAAAGACGTAAAATGGAAGGAACTAGGCCTGAAATTGATGATGTGGTGGAGCTGTCGGAGAGAGGCTCCTAGTCCAGGCGGGGCCGGCCGCAGCAACACCACGAAGTCTACATCTAAAAAGTATAACACTAATTAGATGTCTGATATCGCTTCAACTCCTCCTCCCTCTTTACCTAGAGTGCTTCAGGGAAGATGAATGTTTGAACTCGGTTGCGCTACAGTGATGCAGTAACTTTCATTAGTGTTTTGAATTTCTAGATACTTTAGTGATGCATTCTCGTTACTCAACCGACACAGAGAGAAAAGTGTTTGACATTTGACGTGGTGAATTCCTTTTCTTCAAACCTTAAAACTCCATCGAACAATCCTTACTTTTCCATATGCGGCCGGTTCAACGACTTTGTAAAGAGACTTTAATAAATTTAATCTAATGTGTATAAAACTAGATAGATAGGAATTAGAACTAGTCAATTTGTTGTGGTGGAACGTTTTCTACGAGAGCTATGTACACTTCATAATTTTACTGAGTAATTTTAATTAGTGCGGTGCTTGCTGTTAAAGTTTTATTCGTTATTTATAAATAATATAGAATAGAAAGTACTCTAGCAGTCTCAAAACAACGTTAACAAACAATGATTTGTGAAAATATCAAAATAGTTTTCCTACGTTGTTTCCAATTGTTATTTGTGAGTCAATTTTGACGTTAGAATTGATTTACAGTTTAAGAAAAGGTTTCGAATCATTGAATATTAGCGAATAGGTAATTTATTATGATAAATCATATAATCCAACGATGTGACAAAAAGCCTATTATGATTTAATTGTGTTGTAATGTTTAGTTTTATTATCATTATAAACTTCTAGTCAACGACTGTGTAGCCTCGTAGTAAATTGTTAATAGATAGATCTTCAATCTATTAAGAATCTGAAGCAGAACCAATCGTTCGTGAATTGATTAATAATCGCCCTAAAGATAATAAAAGTATTTTCTGAATATAAAGAATCATATTTTCTTACAGAATCGTACGTAATTTAGACGTGTATCTGGCAATACGCACATAATTATAAAAGTTTAGACTATCGTAATTAGTCCTAAAAATAACAGTAAAATGGTTAAAGGTTTACCATGGGCAAAAAAAAATATCTTAGCTGTTTTCTGTTTAGTGCAGTCTCTTATTAAATGTGCCAAATCTATGTAATTTTTCTAAGCTTTTCGAAATATTTTACTTGTATTTTTATCGTTCATTTTATATGATTTCAAACAACATATTCGTACAACAACGTACAAATATTTTCAGCTGAAGTCCTGAACAAAATTATAAATAAATTAAATAAGCATTAAATAAGAAAAACTTTGAATTTGTTTTTCCAAAAACTTTGTGCATTTTGGAGTTACACTAAAAGAGACCTAGTTAGGGAAGTCAGCAATAAATTTTATACTTCGACTGTGCCTTTCCTATTTCTAATGTATTTAGCTTGAAGTTGATTGTGAGTAGATTCAGATCTTAAATGTATACTGTAGGAGTTGAAGGTTAGATACATACGTATAATTCTTGTTGAGACTATGAAGTTTGTAAGTCGTATGACAAGTTTTACAAGTTAAAGATATATCTGACGGTAAAGTCATTACCCAGCATTCCTAACTAGCAGAACAAACGACATGTTATTTTATTTTGTAATTATATAACCGTATAGTAATAACTATCCTCGTTATTGAAATTATTGACTTTCTCGTTACCTGTCTACTAAATTATTCAATGTCTTCCATCTTTATCTCATTTTAGCGATCTGGCTAAACATTTAGGAGCAGAATGAATTTATTATTTAATCATACACCTGTATAAGAATTGACTAAATGGAATTTAGTAAACTATAAGTATAGTGTTTTCGTGATAAAAGTAAATTTCGTGATAATGATGAATAATTGTTTTCCGGTATTGACTGTATTATAATTTTTAAGAGGTATGAACAATGTTCATTGTTTGATTACACCTGTTGAAACAAGCTGGTGGTCTGTCAAGTTAACAGTTACGACAATGTTAGGTTGAAAAAATAAATCTAAATTCGGAATGTTTGTTTCATTACAAAATCCTTATAATAAATAATCTAGTTCAAAATTAGTAGACTTTAAATGAACTGAAGTAAAAATCAGTGAACAACGTGAGGAATTGTATATTGGATTTATTTGTGTAGCGAAAGGATCTTCAGACAATGTGTACACAGGTACAAAGGCGAAGCAACAGGCGAGTTGAATTGAGTTTAGCAACAATCTTTGCGAGCGCCTATCTTGTTAGCGAGCGCTTACAATCTCATTTGCATAATTCCTTGAAACGAATTTTAATGGATTCTTTATCGTGCTCAACAACATAATGCCGTTTTCGCAAAAAGGTAAGGGGGCCCAGCCGTTATGAGAGAAAGGATTTACTTGTCAAATAATTAAGTCCCGAGACTGTGAAGCGGTGTGTAGCCTATAATTTAGAATTCACTTTTGATCAAATCCTGCCACTCGGAATTTCAAATAAGATGGTAGAGAGGGCACGCATTAAATTTGTAAATTTAAAAAAAAAAAACTTAAGTAATGTAATATTAATTTAAACATAACAATGAAATCTACAATTTTAATATAATTCATATTAAAATACAACTTAGACTACAAGTACATAACTTAAGCTGATACAGACAGCTTGATAGATTTTAACGAAATCTGATTTCGAAACCTACAGACAGTTTGAACTCTTTAACCAAATTATAATTAATGCAGACAAAATTGTGGGTGGAAATTAATGAGTATATGATTTATCTACATGATTGTATTAGAGATGACAAAAAGTACGAGACGGAAATGCGTTACGCATACCCGCTCCCCTATACCGCAGGGTCGACGGGAGATATGTGGGAGACCTAACCTAACCTGCATAGTAAAAAATGGACACCAACGCAAATTATTATGTGGACATTTAAAGTAAACGATACGTATTCCTATTCATAGAACTTGTACCTACTGGTTAGCATTGGCGACTTAGAATTTCATATAACAAAATCAAATCTCCTATTAGGTTGCCCTTGCTGAGTTTCTTGCCGGTTCTTTTCAGTACAAAGTCTGCCGCCGTAGATTTGCAACTGAATAAGTCGCTTTTGATACAAATTATAAGTCTCACTTTTTTAAGTTTTGATTTTTTGTGATATTGATATTTTTATATAAAACACTGAAAATATTATTAAATATCTACATAAAAATAAGTCAACATTAATAAGTCTTAGGAAATGAGCGACGACATATTTTTTTCAAATATATAAAACTATATTCATATTATAAAGACAAAAGATTTAATTGCTTGCTTGTTTTGATTTTGAAAACTCCTTGAAAAAAGCTTCATAACACGCGAGCAAGAGATTAAGCTATAATTTACGCAGGCGAAGTTGCTGGGAAACAGTTAAGTAATTTGATAGATATTAGTTCACAACTCAAGATGAAATCGATAAACATACCTAATTACATAAAAAACATACCTACATACTGAACATAGAAAATTCTCCTTTCGAATTTTAAATGAATTCAAAATAAGCAATCTTTTGTTTTTTCGCTGATATAAACATGGCATCTAAATATTTAGGTGATATTTGATGAAAACCACAATTTGTATTTATTACTGATTGGAATTCGATAAAATTTAAATGAGACCACATCAGGCTATTAAGTTGTAGAATAAAAATTTTGAATTAGTCAACAATAAGCGGAAAAATCGAGAAACTTACATAAAAAATACTTCGCCCTCGAACGTAAACCTCGTTCGATTTTGAAGTCTGTTAAAAATTAATGTCAAAAAATCTTAAATTTTCCATTGTCCAATAAAGAGGCCTCTAGCAAAACTATTGCTAAATTTATTTATAACGTAACGTAAGAAATTCGATCGTCTAAGTCGCTCGAAACAGGATTCAAACCCCTAACAACTAAGCCGAATACCATCTCAAACACTTCGTGTGGTTTAATCTTATATTTATGGAGGTACAAAAAAAAACATCAACACAACATAGCGTTAACAAAATAAGTCAAAAATTATAACGGCAAGTTCCATTGAAAAAAATATATCTTCGTGACCTATTTTCGTAAAAATGATCCGAGAACAACTTCCTCTTGGCGCTCCCCACGCGGAAGAACGTGTTATAAATAAGCGGCACACAAAAACAGCCTCATCTGAAATAAACCTTGAGCATTGCACACTGAGATGACCTTGGCACTTAAAACACAAATGTGTGTGTTTTCTTCACGACGACAGTCATTCTTAGAAAGTCTTTTCATCTCGGAAGTGATTTGGCAATCGCGCCAGCCAATACGAAATAAAATTCGAAAAAAATATTGATTCAAGTATACTTACATATTATATGCACTTTTGAATTGTCCAACGTTTATAGCCTACTAGCTAACTGCGAGTACTTACAAACAATCTGAAGTCTAAGTCACTAATAACATTGGACTTGTGGTAGATAGTAAATGGTAAAATGTAATTAGTTAAGATTCTATAGTGGTGAAATTATTACTTAAACATTAGCAGAATAAGCCAGCAGGACTTCTACAGGACGTCTTTTAACTGACAAGAAGAACCAACCAAAGAATCTCACCAACTCACAGAAATAACATAGAAGTTACAAACACTGTCATTACAAGGTCAATAATAACAATATGTATTAATTGTATGTAACACATAACAAGCACTGTGAGTCTCTGTGGAGCAAAACTCTAAATACTTAAGTATTTTATAAAAGTTTCCATTAGAATAAAATGTAAGTAGTCTAAACATTTGTCAACTATCCGTTGAATTGTGGTGAAATATCGTATAGAACAATTCAAGTTGAGACTCGGAAGTGATACTAGTTAAAATGGACAAGCCCTATTGTTTCGCTGTCGCAAATATTACAAGTAGGTAAACAAACATGTTAAATGACTACAAAATAATTGTATGTAATACATAACAAGCACTGTGAGTCTCTGTGGAGCAAAACTCAAATTACTAAAGTATTTTATAAAATTTTCCATTAGAATACAATGTAATAAGTCTAAACATTTGTCAACT